ATTTACAAATTATATCCTAATATTAGAACCTGGGACATCAAAGTTGAAACTATCATATAACCTCTCCCAATGTCAATTGGATTTGAACTGTAGTTTAAAACAGGTAGATAACATTGACACAGGATTGATTGTATATTGTTTAACGTCCCTCTCGAGAGTTTTTCAGGAAGAACAGTCAATTTTTCTGGTCAATTTCTAATTCCTGGAATATGTTTACAGCTCTAACTTGCCTAAAGATTATGCTGAACTTTTTCTATATTTAACAACTGAACATTGATTGAACAAAACAAGGCTGTCTCCTTTATCTATTTGTGAAGGACCTAGAAATAAACTTTCATCATTGGGAATTCATAATATACAAATTACTGTAAACATATAAAATTTGGCTATTCTTTTTGGCACTGTTGGAGGAGAGAAACTTCTGCTTTTTCAAATACAGTGCAAAATGCCTTGCACATATACACATGATGGAACCTCCAGAAATTCGCTCATTCAAATTTTGTGCTATTATTTACTTTTATAGACGTCATATAGTTATGAAGTTTCACAGAAATATGTATCTTAAAGATTTCAATAAATTTTGGGCAAAATATCTGAATTTTTAAAAAATTCTGCTAAAATTATCGGTATGTTGATATCGCTGATGAAGAGGTACGGAGCACGACAAAAAATTTGAAGCAAAAGCAATCGGAATCCTAAAATTTAACTCATCTCTTTTCTATAATTCGCGATATTTTTCGATAATTTTCTCAAATGTATCTTTAAATTGTTCTATTATTATGTATTTAGATTTGTGGCGTGACTAACAGAAATATAGTGATTTTTCTCTGATGCGATTACCGTGAAAACGACTGTGAAAATGACGTCTCCTGAATTGACGGCGCACCACATTTTGTTAAATTATGTGTAATGCTCGAGATATCGCCAACATAGATCCAAAATATGCATAATAAAACATGTAGTAAATTCGGGTATTCGTGACATTCGTCCACAAATGGCAAATTGAAATTTAAGACCGTTAGACCTCTAGATCTGTAAAAAGGCTATACGGGAGGACGGAAAGAAGATTATCGACGAAAACTTTATCCGGACTGTAAAGAACGTGATTGACAGTCACCAATATCACACTATTTCTGAAAAATACCTGCAGTTTTTGGTTTTAAAACAAAAAAAGAATATTCTTTTCTTGTTTAATAGATTTTAAGCTTGACAAGAAATGTTGTTTGGATGTTGAGTAGATAAGGTAACTCAAACTGTACAGGTACTCTTGGGAAAATGTTGAGAAAATGAAAACTCAATCACATATTTTTTTTTATAATGCCTTTAACGTCAAAGATTTTGCTGCTCCGTAACTTAATGATTTGTCTTGAAAATACACTCAAAATTGATACCAATTTACAACATTTTGATATGAAATTTTGAAGACCATATAAGTAAAGATTCTTTAATATTATGTATGACATTTTGCCCGATTATGTCGTCAAATAATTTTTCTGTGCAACAAGTCCGCGTAATTTTTGAACGGCCCTCGTAAAATGAATACTCAAAAGGAGCAACGATTAATGTCATTTTTTATTTGTAAAAGTAAGAATAAATCTTTTCTGTCTCATTTAAAAATTCTTAAAGATCTATCTCGACTTATCGAATACAAAAATAAGATTTTTTGAGTCCCTATTTATATTTTTTATTTATGTTAATGTAATTTTTCAATTATCTTTTTGTATCAAATAGACGAATAACAAAAATGGATAAATCAACGGGATCAAAAAAGGTTTTTATGTCAAACCATCCTGAACTTGGTCGACTGGACAGCTTGGCGATATTTGCAGATGAAAGAATAGATGGTATATCGGTTTACAAGTTCTTTGATAGGCAATTTCGATCATTGCTAGCAATAACTTGTCCAAATTAATGTCTTTTTCATTTTAGTGAGCTCACTTTGTTCAAAGAAGAACGGTAATTGCAGTACTTTCTGCTTTCCAACACCAACTGGAAGAACATGTGGATGTCAGGATAATGTTGACTTACAGGCAGACCAAAAAACATGTCAAGGAGGTTCATTATTATTTTGTTTGTTACTTCTACATGTAGCACTATCAACCAAATTAATCCTCTATTCACAATTGCTCTTTTTCAATAAAACGGGGAAAATCCCCGAAAAGATATTTGTGTAAAAAGACGAACTAAGGCGTAAGGTGTGCATTTTCACCCACATTTTGAGGGATTATGTTCCGGGAGATTGTTGCTCGGTAATTGCCTTGGTATTCACTGTGATGAGTCTATTCAACTAAGATGTATTCCATTTATAGTCCTTATATGATCTTTATAACGCAAACATTCATAAAACTACAGGTACATATTTCCTGGATTTAAAGCATTGAGTTTTTGCGGAGAACTTGTGTGCGTGCATCTTATATATAACTTTATACATTAATATTATAACTTTCCAAAACCAAACCTTAAATCTAGATATATTCGTTGCAATCCCCTTATGCCATATTCAATTAAAAGAATTCGGCTTCAAATTGTTTCTTACAGATAACGAAAGTTAAATACGGTGATTTTAATTTGTTATCAAGAGATTTAAATGATTTTCTGACAAAGTTTTTAAAGAGGAAGTAATGTCGCCAGACTGGATTCTTTATCTTTATTTATAATCATGTCAGCTTAAAAAGTAATATTACAATATTTGAAAAATATTGATATTTTCTTTGTCTTTAAACTAAAACTATATTGGTTATTAAAAGAGTTCATAACTTATAAAATAAGTATAAATTTTATTAACACATTTTTTTGTTTGAAAATGTGTGCGCTGAAAATGTAGGTATCGAAGTTATTATATATTTATCACGAAGCTTTCTCAATATATTTATTTTTTACAGTTTCTAGATGTTCTACTTCATTACCAAATGTGAACTTCTTTAACTGCTTGCCTTACCCTGGGCAGACTTGTACTATTGACTGCAAACCTGGATATCGACTTCTTAACAGCAAAACGATTACATGTGACAATAACGGTCAATGGGTTCCATTCCCATCTTCTTTATGTACAGGTTTTTATTCTACAGAATCTTTATTCGTATACTTATTTTACTTTTCATTTACAACTTATCAAGAAAGAAAGCTCACAGTTATACATGTATATCTTGGCCCATATGCTTTGCGAGTATTTTATATGGATTTGCTCATCGATTTTACATAGCATATAAACCTGAAAGGTGTACAATCAAAACATTTCTTTACATTAAAAGTGTGATAAGATAAAATATAGTCATAAAACATATTTTTAAACAAAAGTATAACAAAGCATATTAAGTTATAATTGGTTTTTAGTTTTCAAATTTCATACAGGTAATGTCGATTTTGTAGCACAATATTTTAAGTGGAGAGGTTTGTTCAATTATACTTAAATTAACAAGTGAACATACATTTAACAATTGGACACACTTTTAACTGGTCATTTTAGATAAAATGTAATTCTGATTACTGTTCACAAAACCCTAAAACATAAAAGTATATGTATATAAGTAGTCTAGTTTAATTAGGTTTTTTTTTCTTTGAAAGAAAAAGTATTCGCATCTTTTAGTTGATGATAAGAAAATGAAATCAGATGTTATTAAATTTCCTTTCAATATTCTTTGAAGAGACATTTTTGCAAAAGTTGTTTGCATATTTTTTTTCCTTAAACAGTAGTTTAAGGAAAGGCATATCATTAAAAAAAACTACACAATTATTTGATCTAAGATACGAATATATATTACAGATAAGAATATGTTTTCAAAACTTATTCTTTTGTGTTTTTAAAGAAGCTGAAATTTATGATGAGACACCATCGTTAACTGGTGTTTACATTGGATCCTCGGTTGGAGGCGTCATCATTATTGTCACCTTTATTACCGCTATAGTCTGTTTCATTAAGCGAAAGAAACCACCGATGTAAGTTTTCTTAGGCATAAACACAAGATTATAATTCAAGTTTTCTAGTTCAATATTTGTATAAGAATACGAGAGTGTATCCATTTTGAAAATAATGAGTTTTTTGTTGCATGAAGTAATATTTATAAGTGAAATCAGTAACGATTTAAAAGTTGTGAGAAGAAATGAATTATTGGAAACTGCAGTGTTTTTTAAATTAAAGAGTTAAGTTTATTTTAAAATCATCTTTTGTAGAAATGATCACGAAGATCGACCTCTTGTGAACGATAACTCTTATACGACATTTCAAAATAATGGATTTACGCTTGATGAGTTGCAGGATAGAACATCATCGCATATTTACAGTACCATAGGAGAAATACATAATACTGAAAAGAATCCATACTTAGAACCTATTTCATAATATCATCATTTGAAAAGCTGACGAATTCATATTTCTCCTTTATAATTTTTTTCATAAAATTACGTTATATGTCATTTACATACATGTAGAGTAACTAAAATGAAACTAACTATTAATATATTGTAATATTTTTAATTGAAGTTTTCTTCGAACAAATGTCCCTTTTTTATTGAAAGAAAGGGTATTTATTTGGGTATGCCTATCTATCTGTTCGTCTGTTTGGCCTGTCATTCTCTCCCTTTGAATTACTTACCTTTGCAGGTGATCTTTAAAGGGCCTTTTGAGCTTTAGCAGTGTATTATTGACAAACAATTGCCGCTAATGATGTCGAGTTCAAAGGACAATGTTACTCATTTAAGAAAAATGGAAATGTGTTACTATTTTTCTTTTCTGGGCAAAATTATATATCATAATTTTTATACCCCTCATCCGCTTGAAAAGCGGGAGAGTTTGCAGTAATCGGTATGTCCATACGTCCGTTTGTTACGCTCTCGATCGGGAAACCCATCTTTTATCTGCAACTCCTCTCATACCACTGCATGAAATTTGATGAAACAAAATCTTTATTACATAATGCTATTGTGCACCTCTTATTTTACTTCTTGATCCGACACATATTTTGGGTTTCCCACAACAAAACATGGCCACTGACATTATATTTATATGGGAGGCGGGGGAGGGGTATCATTAGTGAGCTTATTGTTCACAGTTCCTCTAGTGTCTAATGGGCTAAGAATTTTTTTTTTATTTTGAGGTCAAAATATCAAAGGCAATTTATTTTGTTGAAACCCTTTTTTCAATACTACATGTACACTTCAATCGTATCTTCAAAAACAGTTTTTTGCAATCAATTAGATTTCTTATTTTTTCATTAAATGGTTCACAAATTTTCTGGATTAGCTTGTAAATATTCCTTTTTAGTTAAGTTGTTAGAATGATTACAATAAAAATTAAACTCAATCTTTACTTACATATTTATTTGTTATTTGCAAATTAAATTATATCATTTTGTTAATTAATCAATTAGTAAAAGCTATTTCCTTTCACATGACAAGTCGTTTTATCACAGTGAACTTGAAATAAAATACACCACAGATTCTGCAACATTTTTTTTATTTCTGTATGTTTTACTGACTCTAAACGATAAAGGAAAACTAACTACTATCAAATTCCATAGCAAACGGAATGGCTTCGGTTTTTTTATCGTTAACTTTTCTAGCACTTCATATATAACTATCTCCATTGTGTTGTCTCCCAACTGATAGTCTGAGTATAATCTAGTTTTAAACCGATGCAGACTACTCACACATAAGCTGATGTAATAAGAAATTTAAGCAACTTCGTCAGCATTTAATTAACTCTGTTGTTGTTATAATTACTTTATAATCAAATGTATCTTATCACTAGCTATTCGCCGAATTTGGCTGACTTTATTTACATTATTGTCAGATCTTTGTCATACCCCCGGATCGATAGATCCGAGGCGTATATTGTTTTTGTCCTGTCTGTCTGTTTGTCTGCAAACTTTTAATCTTCTTCAAAACTTTTGAACCATGAAAGACAGAGACTTCATATTTGGTATGCATACTCCACTAATAAAGTTCTTTCAAGTGACACCAAGGTCAATGACCTTGTGACCTTGACTGCGACTTGTATGCTAAAAATAACTTCATATTTAGTATGCATACACCACTAATTTAGTTCTTACAAACAACACCAAGGTCAATGACCTTGTTGGACTGTGACCTATGTGCTAAAAATAGCTTTTTCATACTTTGTCTGACGCGGGGCGCATAGTATTTCACAAACACATCTTGTTACCCCTTGACGTTGATTTTTTACATAATTTTCAAAGTATTTAACCCTCCTAAGAGATTATTAGGCTTCTGAGTAACATTAAGGAAGACTTCAAGTAATACAAGGCTTTTTGCACAAAAAACGTCATTTTCCGACCCCCATTTGATCCCCCGGGGCAAAATCTAAATTCCAAAACCTTACTGCATATCTACATGACCCCACCAACCATCTCCCAAAAGATGATTAGGCTGCTGAGTAAAATGTAAGGAATTCAGGGAAAACAGGGCTCTTTGTATGAAAAACGTTATTTTTCTACCCCCATTTGATCCCCCGGGGCAAATTCAAAATTCTGAAACCTTACTGCACATCTACATGACACCACCAATCATCCCCCAAAAGGTGATTTGGCTGCTGAGTAAAATGTAGAAGGAGTTCAGGGAAGACGGGACTTTTTGCACAAAAAACGTCATTTTTCGACCCCCTTTTGACCCCCCGGGGCAAAATCAAAATTCCAAAACCTTACTGCACATCTTCATGACACCACTAATCATCCCACAAAAGATGATTAGGCTGTTAAGTAAAATGTAGAGAAGTTCAGGGAAGATGGGGCTTTTTGCATAAAAAATGTCATTTTTCGACCCCCATTTGACCCCCGGGGCAAAATCAAAATTCCGAAACCTTACTGCACATCTTCATGACACCACCAACCATCTCTCAAAAGATGATTAGGCTGCTAAGTAAATTGTAAGAGGAGTTCAGGGAAGAAGGGGCTTTTTGTACAAAAAACGTCATTTTTCGACCCCCATTTGATCCCCCGGGGCAAAATCAAAATTCCGAAACCTTACTGCACATCTACATGACACCACCAACCATCTCTCAAAAGATGATTAGGCTGCTGAGTAAAATGTAGAAGGAGTTCAGGGAAGACGGGGCTTTTTGTATAAAAAACGTCATTTTTCGACCCCCATTTGATCCCCCGGGGCAAAATCAAAATTCCGAAACCTTACTGCACATCTACATGACACCACGAACCATCTCTTAAAAGATGATTAGGCTGCTGAGTAAAATGTAGGAGGAGTTAGGGAAGAAGGGGCTTTTTGTATAAAAAACCTCATTTTTCGACCCCCATTTGACCCCCCGGGGCAAAATCAAAATTCCGAAACCTTACTGCACATCTACATGACACCCCCAACCATCTCCCAAAGGATGATTAAGCTTCTGTGAAAAATGTAGGAGGAGTTCAGGGAAGAAGGGGCTTTTTGTATAAAAAACGTCATTTTTCGACCCCCATTTGTCCCCCCAGGGCAAGATCAAAATTCCGAAACCTTACTGCACATGACACCCCCAACCATCTCCCAAAGGATGATTAAGCTACTGTGAAAAATGTAGGAGGAGTTCAGGGAAGAAAAGTGTGACAGACGGACGGACGGACGGACATGAGTAACAACAATATACCCGAACTTTCTTTTTGAAAGTGCGGGTATAAATATACACTGTGTCATGACACATTGCAAACTAATTGTTGAAAAAAAATCATTATACAAAATCAAATTAATCTTGATATATCAAATTCATTTTGAAAATAAAGGCTTGGTCATCCAGTAATGAAGTGCTTTGACAGACAATAAATTAAAATTAAGAGAATAAGAGAAGAGAGATCTTTAATTCTTGTGCCTTCTTCCCTGAAGATTTGATAACACACACACGCTTGATAAGAGATATGCCTTAACAACCTTCAACACCAAACTCATTAATTTATCTTTAACTGGATGCATGTCCAGTCATTATTCCCACGAGACAACTGAATTTACATTATCTTCTATGGACTGTAAAAACTGTTTTAAACACTTGATGATCTTTCTTTTTTTTTGTTTTAATGAGTTGTTTTAAGCTGTACTAGGTCACATTTTTGTACAGATATTTTAGATTCTATCTCTCAAACCTTATAAATGAGCCAACAATGAACAAGTCAATTTAAATAAAAAGTAAAACCTGTAAAATGCAAAAAATTACAAATAAAGTTGAAAATTCCAGATGCACCTTCATATGGTGAATTAAAAGTTGCGAATTTTAGATAAATCCTTGAATAGTTTGTGAGAAAGGTCTGTACAAGACCACAAAATAAAAATAAAAAAAAAACACCTGTAAAATTCAAATCTCGAACATCAATTTTCATACATAATCATCCAATAAAGATGAAAATAGCGGGTGCAAACCTTCATATGGTGAATAATATGTGTATAAATTTTCAGACAAACCTTCCAATAATACCCAACCCCCTGCGCGGGAGAAACGGCCCCAAAAAGTCCAGCTAAAATCAAAACAAACAGTGATTTACTGAATACAAATAGCATGAGACTGCAGTTGTGATATCCCATATAAGTTTTTAACATAAACAAAGGCCAGATAGGTAAAGACTCAATTTTTTGAAGTAGATAATTTTCTTCAAGGAAATATACAAGAGAAGAGTTGTCTACCCATGAACGACCTACTTCCGGATTGTGTCAACATAAACAAATATGGCGCCTCGGAATCTGTTTATACATTATAACAGTAGTATCCTGCAAACTCAAGAACCCAAGCATCAGTCAATTAGTGTCTTTCAAAGAAAAAACAACAAATTTGTTCACTTCTTTCAAAAATGACAAAGACACAGTAGAAACAGTACATATAATCCAGGTGAACATTTCGATTTTAGTGTAACAATCAAGAGTCAGCTTGATGAAAAAAGTTATTTTCATATGGTTCAGACTGGAAACAAATAACTTTAACAAACCTAGATTATCCACACATAGAAAATCGTTTTGGAAGATACTATTATGTATAGGAGGAATAGAAGTTAATCCAGGACCTAAACATTATGAAACAAAAATCAACAATGAAGGGAATGACTTACACTTTGAATGTTTTAAACAAAAAGGAATGCATTTTATTCATCTTAATGTCAATCATATTGCCAAAAATATCTGAATTCGACTTTTAGCATCTAAATCTAAACCAGCAGTGATAGGAGTTACAGAAACATGGTTAGATGAATCGGTTTTGGACATGAGATTAACATAGATGGTTATTCCATTCTTAGGAGGTCGGTGTGAAACGGAGGGGGAGTTTGTCTTTACATATTAAATAAATATGCTTTTTCTCGACTACCTGACCAAAACAACTTAGAAGCAATCTTTATCAACATATTCTTGCCAAAAACAAAACCTATCCAAATTGGAATCTACTATAGGCCACCAAATCAATCTGACTTTTTGGAACATTTTGAAAACAGTCTCCAATCTTTGAGAGCCAATATGAAACATACATTTTTGGTGATTTTAATATTGATTTTAAGCCAGCACATCCTTTGTATAAAGCATATGCTCAAATCTTGAACATTTTTGATCTACAACAGATAATAGATAAACCTATGAGAATCACAGACGTAACAAGTACAACAATTGACCACATTTTAACAAACAGAAAAGAAAACCTAATGCAGTTCGACACTATATCAACGGGATCAGCGACCATTCCATTATTTACTGTTTGACGTATATCGAAAGGACACTTCAAACATCATAACACTGTAAAATTGAGATCACTATAGAACTACAGTCCAGAAATTCTACAAGAAAAATTAATACAAGAGGAATGGAATGAATGTTTTTCAAACTGTGTGAATGAATCGTGGAAAAGTTTCCAAAAAATTTTTAATAAAGTTCTGGATGAAATTGCCCCCATAAAAGAAGTCAGGCTTAAGCAACGCACCGAGCCATGGATCACTCAACAAATTTTGGACCTTATCAGTGAAAGGGACCAGGCCCACCCAAAACCGAAAATCAGGACAAAAAGAACATTATAAAATTTTTTGCGAGTTAAGAAATAAGTCAAAGAGAAATTAAAACATAGGTAATCAGAGATTACAGAGCTCACCTCAACGAATGTTGTCTTTGAGTAAGGCAAAGTCACAAATTAAAAAAAAAAGTGTACATTCCAGAAATGAAAATATTTAAGCAATTTTGATCGAATACATCAAAATAGACCTCATAAAAAATTTTTAAACTAGTTGTTCATGAAAATGTAATTAAAATTAAGCATCTGAAGCAAATTTAAGTTTTCATCT